ATATCTGATTTGTATAAATTTTATATTAATTTTTTTTATTTTTCATGATCTATCAAATGAGACCAATATTGTTTAAGTAATTTTAACAAATTATGGAACTATTATATAAATGATTATTGGATTATAAGGAAAACCGAACTAAATTTAATACAGAAAAATAATTATGTAAATATCAATTTATGTTAAAATTGTGTATATAAATAATTTATTGTATTAGGTATTTATACATGTGAGTTACATATTTTTATATGTGAAGTTACATATTTTTACACGTAAAGTTACATATTTCTACACGCGAGTTACATATATATACACACGAGTTGCATTTGATCTACCTGAACGCGAGTTACATATATTTACACGTCAAGTTACATATTTTTACACGTAAAGTTACATATTTATACATGCGAGTTACATATTTATACACACGAGTTGCATTTGACCTGTCTGAACGCGAGTTACATACTTGTATTTTTTTACGTAAAGTTACATATTCTTACACGTAGAGTTACATATTTATACACACGAGTTGCATTTGGCCTGACTGAACGTGAGTTACAGATTTTAACACGTAAAGTTACATATTTTTACACGCAAATGTTAATATGTTAAAATTACATAGGCAATATTGGTCTCATTTGAAAGATCATGAAAAATAAAATAAGTTGATATAAATTTTATAAAAATCGAATCAAAAATAAAAAAATTATTAACAATTTTAAGAAAAGGGGAAATAAAAAATAACAAAGCCCACCCACTACAATTTGGGATGGTATACCATACGCATCGTGGGACGGTTGCATGGTATACGAACATAAGCAGTACGGAGTATTACGTACTCCATATGCCCCAATTTCGCAAAATTAACATTTTTTAGTCAATAAATACAAATTTAAACTCTCTCTATTGATAACCAAGCATTCCAGCCCAGCTGGTTCTGATATTACTGTGCCTAGTGGGAGATCTCGAGTTCGAAACCTGCTATGCATGCAAGAGTCTGAAATTCAATAGAATAAGTTTCAGTCCCGATTACTCCAGGCCCCCAGCCCCCCCTCCCCCTGACCCTCTGGAGTAAAAAAAACTATCTCTATTGATAATTAATTCAATTTTAATAAATAAGATTTATATATTAATATACTACTTTAAATGGAAATTACTCCAAAAAGGACTTTGTATGACAAAACCACAAAATAGGACTTTTTATGATTTTATTCAAAAATAGGACCATATTACTTCTATTGGAAACATGCCCATTTTTCAATTCATTCTTACCTCTCCTTTAAATACGAGTAACACGTAGTCAAAAGTCATAATTAAATGTTTAATTCATAATATTTTTTTTTAAAAATAAAAATCGTACAAAAATAATAAAAATTTAATAAAATATTTATAAAATAAAAATTATAAAAAAAATATTATTTTCTAAATAATTAATAAAAAATAGTAAAACTCCATAAAAAAATTAAAAAAATTAAAAAAATATGGATGCTTTTGCCACTGCCTGTACTGCCTCCCTGCACCACCACCTCCGACCGATGTAAAAAATGCCAAAAAATGGCATATTACTCTCAGAGAATGCCAAAATTTTCATTGAATCTTCCATAAATATGACATTCCTAATGCATGTGAATTCCCCCCCCCCCCCCCCCCCCCCCCGTTAATGGTGGTGCTAGGGCGACAGAGGTGATTTTTTTAGCGTTTTTCAGTTTTTTTTAGTTTTTTTTAATTTTTTTTAAATTTTTTTAAATTAGATGCCTTTCCCGTCGCTCCTACTGTCTGCCTGCACCACCACCTCCGACCGGTGTAAAATTGGTTCTTCCCTTGGTGTGTGGAGGTGGTGGTGCTGGGGCGGTAGAGGCGGCAGTATTTTTTTTGTGTTTTTTTTGTTTTAAAAAATTTATATTTTTATTATTATTTAAATATTTTAATCAATTTCTTAGTATTTTTTAAGAATTTTATTATTTTTTATTATTTTATTATGAATTAAAACATTTCAATGACAACAAGGGTATATTTGTACAACACACACATAATTAGTTCTATCAAAACATAGTTTAGTTTTTAGTCCTCTTTGTGCAAAGTGACAAATTTTTAGTCCTATTTTGACAATTAACCCCACATTAAAAAGTAAAAAAGTTTCAAAATCCAAATGATAGTTAAAAATTGATATTCTAATTAAGTGAATATAAAAGAGACATAGTAACTCAAAAAGTCAATTTTATAACTCAATTTTGAATGAAGAGAAAAGTAAGTTTACATGAAAGAGAAATTTATTAAATGTGATGGTGGCACAAAAAAAATTCCATTCAATTAAAACTCAATTAAAAAAATATATTGAACAATTAGATCAAAATGATCCAAATAATGAAAATCAAATGCATTACTCCATATTACTACCTCTGTCCCATTAACATTGAGACGAATGTGACATGATTATTAAACAAAATAGGTTTATGTGATTGATATCTATGTAATATAATAAAGCAAACACCTAGAGATCTCTTTGGAGAAATTGTTGACATGTTGTCACACTATTTATTGAAAAACTTGACATGTGTCAACACTATAACAATTCTACTCCCTATTCATATATATAGTGTTATCTGAAGTGCACAACAACACAACATAGACACACTCACATGTATTTACAACATTTATAACCATTTGAAAGGGTAGAAGGAAATCTATTCAACATCTAATTGTTTATAAATAGACGGTCACTCTCATTAATTCATTATCTTTACATTGCTTACAACTATTATGTGAAAAATAATATCACACTCACTAAGTCACAATTTTAAGGTTCTCATTTTCTTTTTTGGACGTACCAACTAAAGGTTCACATTCATATTTTAGAAAATAATTAGCATTTTAAAGTGCCAATTTAATCATCAAATATTAAAAGTAACGCATCTATAACATTACAGTTATCATCAATGACTCATTATATTACATTCTTATCAAATTTTTATTTCATAATATACTTGAATTACATTATTTAATAATTGTCTAAATAACAGTGTCACCTTGCAATGATAACCTTAAGCAGGGACATAGGTAGTGTATATTTAAAAAACACATAAATTAGTTTATGATTCAATAAAAACAAGTTTATAATTTAAAAACATTAAATATATCACTGATATTTTTAGTACCACACTAGATGCGGAGAGTCGTGCTATGAATGTTTTATCTGGGCCAAAATTTTCTGAACTGCACATCTTTGTAAGTCGGGTTTGGCCAGTTCAATTCTGGTCTTCTCATGTATGTTTATTTTGATTTGGTCTTTTAAATTTAATTCAGGATGAGACTACAACACCTTCAAGTGAAAACATTCTAATTGGTTTCACAATTTTATCTACAAAGTCTACGTGATTATGTTCATAAAATTACTAAAAACCCCTATAAATTAAAATAATTATTGCTTTGACACATACTTCAAAGTAATGTTAAAATAATTTTAACATCTACATACTTTTTAGATACACTGCAAAGGATTAACATTTTCATACTACGATCTACGGAGTAGAACTGAATTAGGTACTAAATATATCATACATCTTCATCCACTTTTTAAATGATCAATACTCCTAATTGTAGATAAATAGTAAGGAGTATCATATAAGTATGTTGACTTTGGAAACAAAATCAATCCGGTCATTATAACCAACTATTGGAGGTTATTTTTTAAAAATAAGATAATTGAAAATTTTAAAATATTCAATTAAATTTAAAATACATAGAAACAGAAATATAATCAATAGATAAAATATCAAAATAGATAAATAATTTAAAAACCTTCAAAAAAAGATAAACATCAAAAACAAAATACTATGAAAAAAGGAAATGTAAGAAAATATAAAATCAAAGTGTAAAACTTTTACAAATGTAGAATATACATATAACTCCAAAGTACAAAAATATAGTTTTTGGCATCCTTAATTTTTTTTTTTTTACTTTTTTTTTAGTTTTGTTCGAGTTTGAACAAATTTCTTAGTTTTTTATTTCAAAAAATAATCAGCTATAACAAGTCATCAAAAGATATTAAATCGCAGAATTGATATATAGCAACACAACATTACTCAAGCTTCAATGGCAGAATTGATATAAAAGAATCTAAAAGTTACTTGATACTTAAACGATAGCAACAAAACCCACTACTCAAGCAATGAGTACAAAGAGACTACAAAGACAAACAAATAAATTCTGAAGGATTTGCATTATTCTTCTTTACGAAGTATATTTTGCCGATCTTATTATTATATATTACCACTAAATAATACTAATGATTTTTAAATAATTGGGGCCCCTTGAATTGGTGGGCACTAATATGTAAAATCGATTTAAGCTTTTCATAAACGTCCCTGTAAGGTAGAACATGGTAAAAAAATTAAAATACGTGAGATGAAACTGGGGCGTTTATCCATTTTGTGTATTTTTTCTTTCTGTTTCTTTGAATTTTACTTTTCATTTTTATATTATTGATAATATAAATTTAACCACGACAACTCTTACCGTGCATTGCACGGGTAAACATACTAGTTGAATTAATAAATTGGGAATAAAATAAAAAGGATTAAGAATAACATAAACTTTACTCCCTCCGTCCCTTATAACTTTGTCAACTTTCTTTTTTGGGTTGTCCCAAAAACTTTACCACTTTTCCTTTTATTTAGTCAATCAATTTGTGGTTCCTGTTATTTCTCTCTCCTCTGCACAACTCTCTACCACACAGTTTTTACTTTACTACCTTCGTCCGCCAAAGTTGGCCGGCACAGAGAATAATAAAGTAAAAACTGTGTGGTTGAGGTTTGTGCAGAGGAGAGAGAAATAACAGAAACCACAAAATAACTGATTAAAAGAGAAAGTGATAAAGTTTTTTGGAACGTCCCATAAAAAATGACAAAGTTTTAAGGAGTATTATTTCACGTGTCGGTCAAATTTCGCAATTAGAGAGGAGTATTAAATTTGACATTCCTAGTCAAACGAGATAAACGGGTTTGGAAGCGTTGATTCAGATTCATTCGATGCATTTCTCTTTCAAGCAAACTTCAAGAAGGAATTGAAGAAAGGGACACTCAACCAGATAACTCACCTCTCTCACCCTCTCGCTGTCAATTCAAGAGTTTTAGCCCTTGGTTTCTACCCTGGATAGTCGATACGTAGTCCGAGTCTCGATCTGGGCTTTCGATTTGCCAATTAGGTCATTCGATTTGGATCCGGCCCTTCTTGTTCCATCAGAATCTTGAGCCGCGATCTGTTTTGTAATTCATACTGGCTCTATTTCCATTGACTTTAAGGTAAGGAAGAAGAATCAAGATTCTTTGGTTGTTTTCTTAAAGGAGGAGAGATCGAGTTGCGTATTTGTGGTATGAGATTTTAAAGAGACGATTTGATGGAGGCAGAAACAGAAGTGAGTATCAAATTCAGACTCACCGATGGCACTGATATTGGACCAATCAATTATATGCCCAGTAGCACTGTGCTATCTGTCAAAGAGAAAATAATTGCACACTGGCCCAAAGGTTTAAATCCGCTCTCTACCCTTGATGATTGTTTTCCTGATAATTCAGATTTGGTTTTTTACTCCGTATTGCTTACCAACCTTGAATTACTAAAGCTCTTCTGTAGATTTACTTTTGAAATTATTTCTAGTGCTCCAGTTTTTTTTAGATTTCATATCATGCCTTTTTTTTTATAATTCATCATTAGTGTCAAAATCCCTGTTGGTGTTTGTGGCATTGTTCTTCAATCTTTTGCTTGGTATGTTTAGGTGGTGTCCCAAATTGGAATTCTAAAGGATTTTAAAGCATTTTGGAGTTTATGGAGTAATAGGGAATTTGCAGAATCTATCAGATTCAATTGGAATTGTTTCCCAGAATCAAGAATTTGCATTTCAAACTTCCTTCACTGTCCAGATCTTGCGTTTCAAACCTTCCTCCATAGTCCTGATCTTGCGTTTTAAACCTTCTCCACAGTTCAGACCTCCAAACCTCCTCCACACTCGCCAATGAGTCTTCCTTATCTTGTGCGGGCAATGCGGTTGTGTGATTCTCAGGAGTCAAAGCAGCCGTGCCTGATGGCTCCACACCTCCATGGCTCACAGGCAGAGTAGCAGTGACACTCAGACTTCCCTGTCCTGTGCAGCTCCTTGCCTCCGCAGCTCTGCCTCCGGCTTCACGCCTCGCCTTAGTGGCAGCAGTAGAAGTAGTCCTCCGACAGATTCCAATGAAACCCTAGGATTGGTGAGATTATGGGTTGGAATATTTCCTTCACATTTTAGCCCAAAAATCCTATCAAATCTTTAGAAATCCAATACTTAAAAATCCATGGAATTGTTGAGGATATCATATTTAGAAGGATTCCATTGAATTCCACATTGAGGAACATGAAATTCTAAAAAACTTTCAAAATCCTGCAGCATTCCAATTTGCGCCAAGAACTCTTTACTTGGTTGGTGGTTAAGATGTTAGGAGTTAACTAAATTCATATTCATTCCTAAATGATCTTAGCTGTGTTATTTAGCTTCCTTTCTTCTGTTTCTAATCAATCCCATTGTGATAGTCATGGTGATTAAGAACACCCCCACCCCCCAAAAAAAATACTCTGCAAGTCCTATCTGGTTGACATTCTTTTTTTCATTTTAGCAAATTGCAACTCTTAATAATCATGAAATCGCATTTCAAACTCTTAAAAATCATGAAATCGCATTTCAAACTCTTAAAAATCATGAAACCACATTTAATATACGAAATAGTGGAAAAACTAATTGTGTTTGAAAAAACTTAATCATACTCTTTTTGTACTGAGGAAGTATATCCATGTTTGACCCTCACCTCAACCCAATTTTGAATACTAAAACGTTTCATAGCTGAATGCTTCATAAAGAAATATACTTTCCCTAACTCGTTAAGGAACAACTGTTAATTGATTGACTTCTATTTTTCAGGTGGGTAGTTTTTACACTATCACAAGTCTATTTGCGATGTTCTTATTTTTTATGTTTTCATTTTGTTGCTGGAAGGCGTCTTACCTTGAAGTTGTTTTGTGAAGTGATAATTATTAATGTGAATTCAACAGAGAAACAAAATGGGCCCAAGACAATAAAGGATGTGAGGCTCATTGGTAATGGAAAGATACTTGAGAACAACAAAACAGTTTCTGAATCAACACCTCCTGTCCCAGAAGTTGCAGCAAGTGGCATCACTATGCATCTTCTTGTGACCCCTAAGGCTGACAAAAACAAAGGTAAGTCATAAATTGGAGTTGAAGAGGTTATTGTGGTTGATTTTCACTATGGGTCATTCGGAAACAGTCTCTCTGTGCTTTAGTACAGGGGTAAGACTGCGTACATCCGACCCCCCCTTACCCCACCGTAGGTGGAGCCTTTGCGGCACTGGGGTGATGATGATGATGATGAGTTAATCAATATGTTGTTTTTTAAATCCACGTCCTGGAAATTGCCTATTGTCAAAAATGAAAAGGGATGGCTTGCCCCCTACTATACACCTGGGGGGGGGGGGGGGGGGGGGGGGGCTATTTGCCATACTTTCTAACACTGCTGATTTGTTTGTGTTACATAGATAAACAGAATGAAGATGATACCCCAATAAAGAGCGGCCGGTGTTCATGCTCAATCTTGTAACTCATCTAATGCACAAACACTAATCCAGCTCATATCTAATCCTTGTCTTATGGATTGGTTAAAGTTGTTCCTTGTAAATTGAAAATTCCGGGTAGAAGCTAGCAGAAGTTAAGGAAGGCGGTATGGCCGATTTTGCTTGCTTCAGAAGTTTGAAAACCAACTTTTTGTGTTGGTACCCATAATGTGGGAAGGGAAACCCATTGCCGTTGAGAAGATCATGTATTGGCTTTATCTTTTACCCGTTTTGGTTTGTTTTGTTTGGAATTCATTGTTACCAGACTTGTTGAAACAAAGTGTGTCTATACAATTGATGCTCATGTTTACACTATGATGATCATGTTTCCTTTACCAATTGATGCTACTATACTCTTATTTAAGTCATCTTGCTCAGCTGTATGCTACTTTATTACTTAATCATTCCTTTTTGCCTTTTGAACATTGATTATGACTTATGAGAGTGTCTACTACACGATCTGTTTATCTCACCTTATAATCTACCAATCTCTAAATTACAATATAACAACACTGAGAATAATCTCAAATGCCTTTTTACTCTTATGTGGTTATGTCTCTATTCAAAAGTAAGATTAGTTCATATAATTGGTTGTATAAGTTAGATATGAGAGGGAATCATGCCACCTGCATAAAATCATTTTTTGTACAGCAAAAATAATCGTAAAAGCTGTAAGAATCATTCTCAATATTCAGTCCCGAAGAATCAATTGATACTTCGTGGTGTATATAGATATACTAAGTTTGCACGTTTTGTTTTCTACTTGCCAATTTTATCAAGATATTCGACAAACACTTATTATTTGAGAAATTGCCTAATATAGGTGATGGAGTATATGGGCCTGGACCCCAGGATCCACATACTCAGAAGAATAAGAGGCATAGCTGTCACCCAGTGGGGCCTCCGTCGGTCAGATGGCCTCCCATCGGTCAGAAAGATATAAACTCAGAACATGGTCCGGAAGCCAGGAGAACCGGGTGTCCCCGTCGGCCGGGGCTCCGTCGGTCATGACCGCGTCGACCATGGCCGCGTCGGCCACAAAAGGTTCCCAGAACCAAATTTTGTACTTAGTCATTTCTACACATCTTGTACATAGCCCAATAGATGCCCAATTGTAAATGAGCCTCCCAAGCCCAAGACTTGGGAGCCCAGCCCTGATTTCCTCTATAAATACTCCCCTTGGGGGTAGATGTGGGGGGTTCACAAATCATTAATACAAAGCATTTACTGCACTTCTCTCTCTAGCTCTCACTTCTCTCTAGGAGTTAATACTCCATCATTTGGTGCTCTCGTTGAGAGCTAGAACAATTAAGTTAGCCTCCTTCGTCGCTATCGAGCACAACTAACTGATAATGAGAAGAACTAAGTCCAACCGCAACCTCCTCGGCAAGGCCATCCCTGAGGCCCAAGAGAACCGGAAACACGAGGAGGACGCTACGACCGACAAGGCACCCGGCGAGGATGTCTTCCAGGAAGCCACCGGCCTCACGACTAACCTGCACAACAAGCTCAACGACGGCGCCCCAGATGCCCGCATCAGCTTGGACAAGAAGCACGCAGAAAAGGGCGACAACGTCTCGGGGCAACCGGCTTCTCCTGCCGTTGACCCTCAGCTACAAGCCGCGCTCTCGGCCATCATCGACAGCTTGGCCCAAAACCCCACTGTCCTCAGTGCACTCATGCCAAGGACGGGGGAGAACACGACCCCGCCTCCTCAACCCCAGCCGTTGGCCGTCAGGCTAGGCAACGACGAAGGGGTGGTACCCCAGGACACGACGTCATCCCATTCCCACCCTACTTCCCCGCTTCGAGCTGGACCGACCCCAACGCGTGGAAAAGCCTCAGCCTTTAACAGGCTAGGTGACACGTGCCGTCGGCCTGCTTCGGAGAGGATGGCGGGGCGGATTGGTCAGCGTGAGCCTGGCTCACCCAGGGAAAACTTGGGGTCGGTATCCCGGACAGCGGATCGGCCCCGCCTGGACAAAGGCAAGGCAAAGCTACATGCGGGTGATGCACGTCACCAAATCAACATGGCTCACGCAGCCCGCTTGCAGACACAGGGAGCCACCATGGCGGCCAAGGACCCTAGGGACGAGGTGATCGCCCAACTCGAGCGAAGGCTCGCTCAGATGGAGGCCAAACGCTGGCCGCCACGCCCGCGGGCAACTCATCTAGGGATCCCGGCTTCAACGCCCTTCTAAACAAGGTCAACATCCTTGAGAGGGAGTTGGCCGAAGGACGAGGAGACCCCATCATCCAAGTCAGGACGAGGACTCCCTTCACTGCCAGGGTACTCTCGGCCCCCATCCCCGAGAAGTACTGAGGAAACGCCATCAAGCCCTATGACGGCCGCTCTGACCCTCAAGAGCACTTCAGCCGCTATCAGAACAACATGCTGATGGTGAACGCGTCGGATGAATACCTCTGCCGTTGGTTCCTTTCCACTCTAGAGGGACCAGCGTACGAGTGGTTCAACGCGCTCCTCGAGGGAAGCATCGACTCATGGCAAGATCTTGTCCAACGCTTCCTCACTCACTTTGCCGGGAGGAAGCGCGTGAAGAAATATTTCACCCATCTTCTCTCCGTCAAGCAACAACATGATGAGTCACTCCGATCATTCATCGACCGATGGACGAGGGAGACCGATGAGGTCGAGGGGGCCGATGAGCACACCCTCTTGGCCCTGTTTCAGGGCGCCCTCCGCAGCACCCCATATGCGAGGAGTCTCATCACTTACCCACCAAGATCCTACATGAAGGCGCTTCAACGAGGAAACTTGTACGCTGACGCCGACGAGTTCCACAGCCACAACAAGGATGGAGGGCACCCCTCCAAGAAGATGAATGCCGCGCCAACTCCAGGCGCACCCTCGGCAGGGGATCGTGGTCAGGGAGGACAAGGCCGCCATGGATCTGGCGGAAAGAACAAGGACCTCATATGGAGGCCGAGGATGGAAAGGATGAAGACCCCACTCACTCATTCGGTCAGCTCCGTCCTCGATTACGCCGAGGAGCACGACCTCATTGAGCGAGATCCTCGGTCGGCAAAGGAGATCTATGTCGTCCATCAGGGCAGCACCTACTGTCGTTACCACCGAAACACCTCCCACAACACAGACGACTGCGTCACGCTGAAGAGAGCCATCGAGAAGCTGATTCGTCAGGGGGAACTCTCCCAGTTTGTTAAGGGTGGCCCGCGCAAAAATACGTGGGTAAACACCAACAAACATAGGGGAGAACCCTCCGCGAAGAAGCGTGAGATCGGCAGACTCAGCGATGACCACGAAGATTTTGAAGAGCCCCCTCCGAAGAAGAACCACAACCACCTCATTCTGGGGCGCAACACTGGGGGGGGGGGGGGGACTCGGCCACCCAGAGGAAGAAATGGACCCAATCCCTTTACATTGGGGAGGTGTCCCACGCTCCCCCCAGCCGAAGAAGCAACGGATGGAGGCGATCACCTTCACCGACAAGGATCTGCCTCCGGGACCCGCATCACACAGGGACGCCCTCATCATCCGGTGTGAGATAGGTGACTCTATCATCCACCGCACCTACATCGATACGGGGAGCTCCGACAACGTCATGTACCTTGACACATTCAAGCAGCTAAAGCTGGACAAAGCACTGCTCAAACCGATACGGACACCGTTGTCCGGCTTCACCGGGGACTCTATCGACGCCGAAGGCACGATAGTCCTTCCCGTGGAGGTCGGCGACGGCTCCCATTGCGCCAAAATTGACATGGAGTTCATGGTGGTTAACCTCGAGTGCGCCCACAACTTGATATGGGGGCGGCCAACACTAGAGGATTTGGAGGCCATCATCTCCATAAAACATCTGTGTCTGAAGTTCCCTACCAGCGGTGGTATCGGCTACGCCCGGGGCAACCAGAAGATAGCCCGAGCATGCTACCTAAAGCTTACAAAGCCAGCAGCTAGCGCCGGGCAGAGAATTGACACAATCACCGCCACCGTCACCTAGGACGAGAAGAGGCCACACACTGAGTCAGTCGAAGAGGTCGAGGAGGTCCCCCTGGACACCTCCCGGCCAGAGCGGGTCCTAAGAATCGGGAAGCAACTCCCACAGGACCAACGCGACGGCATCATCAACGTCTTGCGATCATATGCAATAATTTTTGCGTGGGGGCCGGACGATATGCCTGGCATCAGCCGAAAAGTGATCACTCACCGGCTGTCAGTCGATCCCGCCTCCACGCCGATCAAGCAGAAGCGACGCTACCTTTCGGCCGACAGATGGGACTTCGTCAAAGGGAAGGTCACCATGCTCCTCTCAATCAGCCACATCAAGGAGGTGAAGTACCCAACGTGGCTGGCCAACGTCATCCTCGCTCAAAAGCCGCCGACGTTCAGGATGTGTGTTGACTACACTGATCTGAACAAGGCATACCCCATGGACCCATTCCCTCTCCCCAATATTGATCACTTGGTGGACGAAACGGCGGGATGCGAGTTGATGTCGTTCCTTGACGCCTTCAGGGGGTACCACCAGATATTCATGCATGAAGATGACGCCGAGAAGACGACCTTCAGGACCCCGGAGGGAATTTTCTGCTACCTCGTCATGGCCTTTGGGCTCAAAAACTCATGCGCCACATATACCAGGATGGTAGCCATGGTCTTCAGAGCACTCCTCGGCCGGACGATGGAGGCATATGTAGACGACATGTTTGTCAAGAGCAAGAAATCTACTACTCATGGTGACGACCTCTGGGAGATTTTTGAAATCATGAAGAAGTTCCAGCTCCGCCTGAACCCAAAGAAGTGCACCTTCGGCGTCCAAGGGGGCAAGTTTCTCGGCTACATGGTCAGCCGAAGGGGCATTGAAATCAATCCGGAGAAGATACAGGCCATTGTCAACATGGAGCCACCACGAAATGTGAAGGAGGTACAACGGCTGACAGGACGCCTTGCGGCCCTAAACCATTTTCTCTCGAAATCGGCTGAAAGGTCTCTCCCTTTCTTTCAGATCATGCGCAAGGCAAATGGCTTCAGATGGACGACGGAGTGCCAACAAGCATTTGAGGAACTGAAGCGGTACCTATCGTCCCCTCCTGTGCTTTCTAAACCCAAAGCCGGTGAAACTCTCTTCTTGTACTTGGGGGTGAGCACGTCGACCATCAGCTCCGTGCTCATCCGCGAGGATGAAGGGGTACAGAAGGCAATTTTCTACGTAAGCAAGACGTTACGGGAGGCCGAGCTCAGGTACTCCCCCATTGGGAAGACGGTATTGGCCATCGTCCATACAGTGAAAAAGCTAGGACACTACTTCCAGGCCCATGCCGTCCACGTCTTAACTGAGCAACCCCTCGGTGCACTCATGCGGAGTCCCATCAGTTCCTCACGAATGGTGAAATGGGCGATCTTCCTCAGCCAATTCCAGATCGAAATTAAGCCGAGGCCATCCATCAAGGGGCAGGCCTTGGCCGATTTTCGTCACCGAGTGAACAACCAGGGAGACGACCGCTACCACACCCAGGCCAGAGCCAGACGAAGCATGGACTCTCTTCACTGACGGTTCATCGGCCGCCAAAGCATGCAGGGGCGTCGTCGTCCTCATTTCCCCTGAAGGATTCAGAGCCTATTATGTCATCCGCTTCAACTTCAGGGTATCCAACAACGAAGTCGAGTATGAGGCCCTCCTCAGCGGCCTCAGACTCGCCGCCGGCCTCAAAGCGCGACACATCAAAATCAAGTGCGACTCCAAGCTAGTCGTGGGTCAGATTGAGGGCTCATACGAGGCCAAGGAGGGGAGGATGAGACAGTACAAGCAGGCGGCCGAGGAGCTGCTCAAGGCATTTGAAACCCATGAGATCACCCAGATCCCAAGGGCGGAGAATGCTGAGGCCGACATCCTCTCCAAGCTCATCACAGACACTCCAGAGCACATCTCCAAGATAGCAGAGGTCGAGGAGCTGAGCATGTCCAGCATCCATGCCAGTCCGATCATGTGCATCCAACATCGGCCGGAGGACTGGATCACTGACATCACAACCTTCATCACCTCGGGAGAACTGCCCCAGGACGAGGAGAGAGCCAAGCTAGCCAAACTCAGGGCCCCAAGCTACACCATCGAGGATGGGAAACTTTACAAAAGATCTTACAACGACACTCTCCTCCGATGCCTGCACCCAGATGAGGCCGAGGTGGCCATGGAAGAAGTCCACTGCGGCATCTGCTCCTCACGTCAGGGCTCTTTCAGCATGTCCCAGCGTCTCATCGTCCAGGGCTACTTCTGGCCGACGATGACGCGGGATTGTGCCAATCTTGCAAGGAAGTGTACTGCATGTCAGGTCCTTCAGAAGGCCCCTGGTCGGCCAGCCATCAACTACGCCCTAGTCAGCACCGCAATCCCATTCTCAAGATGGGGAATCGACCTGGTCGGCCCCTTGCCAAGAGCCGCTGGCAACAACCGCTACATCATCGTCGTCGTGGACTACTTCACCAAGTGGTTCGAAGCGGAACCTTTGGCCAGCATCACAGGGGCCAGGTGCCAGAAATTTGTCCACAAGAATATCCTTACCTGCTTCGACGTTCCTCGGGAGATAATATCCGACAATGGCACCCAGTTCGAGGTCGCACCCTTCCAAGAGCTCCTCCAGGAATGGGGAATCAAGCATCGTTTGTCCTCCGTTGCCTACCCTCAAGGTAACGGGCAAGTCGAGAATGTCAACAGAACCATCCTGGAGGGCCTAAAGAAGAAGCTCCAGGACGTAGGAGGCAGTTGGGCAGACGAGCTCCCGAATATTCTGTGGTGCTACCGTACTACGCCAAGGAGGGCGACGGGCGAAACACCCTTTGCCCTTGCTATGGCTTTGAGGCACCAACAGAGGTCACCATACCAAGCCGACGGGTGGAGCAGTACGAACCTGAGGCCAACAAAGAAAACATGAAGATCGACCTCCACCTGATCGAAGAACGACGTGAGCAAGCCTTCATCTGGGCAGAAAACTATCGGCGTCAAGTGAAATCATACTATGATGCCAAGGTACGTTCCCGAGAATTCCAAGTGGGGGACTATGTCCTTCGCCGAAGGGAGGCGAGTAAGCCGACGGAGGCGAGATTACCTTGGTCAGGAAATCGCCAAGGGATTGGATTCAGGGGAATACAAGAATCCCGCTTCGACCTAGGGTTATGCCTTACTTCTTCACCCCTCGCTCACTCTTCGGCCTGAAGCAGTGGGGGACTGGGGGGCTACACCGGCCTCTGGAATACAAGAGGACAAAATCAAAGAAATTCAAAAATATATTAAGTCCACAACTACAACATCAGATCATATATGCACCACAACGTCCATGACCTTGTGGTGCACTGTCGGCCGCAGCAAAGTCAGCAAACAAAGAATTCCCTCCAAAGATTGAACACCTGAGATCATAGGCCACTCAACGGCTTTGAGACCACATACTCCACTCTCGGCCAAGAAATTAAAACAGGAACCCAACGTCCTCAGATCACTATCGTCCATGAGATCAGGATACACACTACTCCTTCCGGATCAGTGCCGCTATCGTCCTCAAAGCATGGACACCAAGCTACGGATACCACCGCTCCGACCTTAAGCACAAAGCAATCGTGAGGCCTCCTCGGCCAATCCATCAAAGGCAACCATTGATGACCGAAAACGATAGCACCCGCATCGGCTATTCAAATCAAGAGCTCATATCGGCCACTGAGGCAGGACACTCATCGTCCTCAAACAATCTTACCCCATCAAAGGAAAGAACATCAGCCCTCTTCGTCCACAGTGAAGGCCATACAACAATCAGAACGTAGAGTGCCCGTAACGGCCAAAAACAAAGAACCACAACAAGGGGTGCCCATGACGGCCAAAACAGGGAAAAGCCCATAGCGGTCCCACAACGGCCAGAAAACGTCAAAACCATGGAATCTACTCTCCCTCACTTCATCTACATCTCAGCTCAGAGAGTGGGGGACTCCTGATGGAATATATGGGCCTGGACCCCAGGACCCACACACTCAGAAGAATAAGAGGCATAGCTGTCACCCAGTGGGGCCTCCGTCGGCCAGATGGCCTCCCATCGGCCAGAAAGATATCAACTCAGAACATGGTCCGGAAGCCAGGAGAACCGGGTGTCCCCGTTGGCCGGGGCTCCGTCGGCCATGACCGCGTCGGCCACAAACGATTCCCAGAACCGAATTTTGTACTTAGTCATTTCTACACATCTTGTACTCAGCCCAATAGAGACCCAATTTTAAATGGGCCTCCCAAGCCCAAGACTTGGGAGCCCAGTCCTAATTTCCTCTATAAATACTCCCCTTAGGGGTAGTTGTAGGGGTTCACAAATCATTAATACAAAGCATTTACTGCACTTCTCTCTCTAGCTCTCACTTCTCTCTAGGAGTTAATACTCCATCAATAGGAGTAAACATAAACATAATTGCACAAATAGGAGTAAAACTTAAAACTTTTGAATAGGAGTAAACATTAATTTTGGACCCTTAATATCCCTAACCTAGTTAATTCTAAAAATATGACTTATTTGATCTTATTTAAAAAAAATCTAAGTTCATTCACTGGAAACGATACCTTTATGCAGGCCATTTAATTTTAAAAATAATCTAAGTTCATCCCAACAATATTAAAATATTTAAAATTAAAAAATATTTTTTTGTAAAAATAAAAAAACTTTAAAAATAAATAAAAAACAGATAAATTGTATTAAAAAATATAAAACAATTATGCAGGCCTTTCCCACAGCCTCGGTCATCACCCAACAATGTCACATCCGATCGGCGAAAAAAATGTCATTTTATGTAAAAACTGCCATTTTTTTTGAAAATGCCATAAAGATGACAGTTTCTCTTTGAAAATGCCAAATTTTCTCAAAATTTGCCATCTTGATGGCATTTCGGGAAAATGTTGTCATTTTTTCGGTGGTCGAAGCTGGTGGTGTTGGGAGGTTGTTGAGGCGGCGGCAGACGCCTACATATTTTTTTTCTATTTTTTTCATTTTTTATTTCTGTATTTTTTATTTTTTATTTTTTATATTTTAATAAGTTTTTATTTTATTTAATACGGAGTTTATTTTATTTGATGTTTTTTTGTGTTTTTTTTTGTATTTTACAATTTTTTTGGAGTTTTTTACAATTTTATTATAAATTAATTAATCGTTCGAAGTATTTCTTTTATGTTTTAATTATTAATGAAAGTTGTTGGGGCTTGGGTAGGGGTATACTTGTCCAAACACTAAAGTTACTCCTATTCAAAACATGGTACTCCTATTTTTGTATTTTGTCTATGTTTTACTCCTATTTGGAGAATTCTCTCTTATTATTTCGTTAAGTTTGTTGAGACTTGAGGATAAATAGTCAGTTCATTTGTTATTTCTCGACTTTCTAATCTCGAATTATTTCCAGATAATACTAAAGATTCTATCATTTCATTTATTTCAACACACTGGACCACATGCTATTGTAGATGTATAGGCCTTACCAAACAAACTCTTAATTTGTGACCAGTTCTGAAAAAACAAGATTGGATGGAAAGCCACAACATCTGCAAAGACAATCCATAAGAGAATTTTGACGCCTGTGTAGCTGTGCGGCTGTGCCCTGTTGCAGACACCAAATGGGGATTGTAAAGTCAAGTACAACAATTACAACAAAAAAAGGAAAATTACATACATTTTATGGTAAGTGGTAACAGCGTATTATGACAAACAAAAACAAAAAAGAACGCTACATATCTACATCGCACATGTTAATCCAGCAACAAAAGTTGGGCGATAAAAACAGCTATATACAAAAGCCAAAACTATGCGCTAATGAAAGGAGCTTTCGAGAGTCAAATGCAGGTTTAGTTGGTTTTCCGATATTGCTAAAGAGAGCCATCTTAATACTGTGTGAAACTACTTTCAGACGGAATGGAGGAAGAGGGTCTGTCTAGCTGATTGAGTTTTCTGGATCCCCGAAGATTCTTGAGTGTCATCTTCAGTTTCTGTCTTTCACCTTCAACCTCAGCAAACTTGAGGCTTAGCTGTGTGTATCTGTCATGCATATCCTTCAGTTCATTCTCCACTGTAGCATGTCTCCCCTTTAATTCCAACATTTCTTTTAGCACCACATTGATGTCTCTAAAACGCTTGAAAATGGCTTCTTCATCACTATTTTGTTTTAGGAATGAACTGGATGATAAATAGAAACGAATGGTTACAGAAACACCTAAAAAGCAATACTCCCTCCACCCCCATTTCACTTGCCCTCTTTGAGAGTTATTTATACGAGAAAAAATCAATTTCGACCAGACGATTCTTTTTTTGAAAGGAAACGGGAGATTGTTTAGGAATGTCTGAAAAGGAAAAAGGGTAGATCAAATTGGATATTATAGTCCTCAAAGACTTTATTATAAAGCACAAATTTGGCTTTAACATAAACCGAGTAAATGATTGAAACTGTTCACAATGTTCTTCATTTTCCTTATATGCCCTTGCACATTTTATGGGGAGTGTGTTTTAAAGTTTCCAAGAGGAACTGTTGTGGGAGAAGAAAAAAATGTGCATCAATAATAAAAAATAGCTTATATTTAGAGGATCAGCCTAACATGCTTTGATCAGAGAGAGTATAAGTGATTGACAAAAAGATTGGTTTATAAATACATCTCTGAAAAACTAAACTAGACATCCAAGGACAAAATCTTATACTGCCACGGATGGTGCTCTACTTGTGAAGGCTACTGCTATGATTTTGTTCTTTTTTGTATAAAAGGAACTTGGGTCAAATAGGCTTATAGGCCCCTATACCTATTCCGTTCGCTCTATTGAGCCACTGAACTAAAAATATATCCAATTCGCACCCCTCAACTCACTAAAAAGATTCAAATTCCATTTTTTAGGAATAAATTTCCAATTACTCACCACGTCACCCAGTTAGGTGTCAACAATGCATCCGGCATGGAAGCTATAAGGTCAAGTAAGTTCATGAACATGTTTGAGTTGTTCAATTGACCTCCTCAACCATAAAAAGTGTCAACATTGGGATGCTGAATTTATAGCAATGCTGAATTTTTATTGCATTTATAGTTGAGAGGGTTCAGGGACTTGTTTGACCCTTTTAGCTTCCACGCCAGATGCATGGTTCACACCTTACCAAGTGACATGGTGGGTAACCGAAAGTTTACCCGCAAAAAATGGATCTTGAATCTTTTTAGCAAGTTCAGGATGTCAATTGAACTTTTTTTAGTGCAGGGACTGAATTGAGCATTACACATATAGGGCCTACCAAATGAAAGTTGGTTTTGTATTTTAGTCATTATATCCCTGGTCAATAGTCATGTCTTACTATTGTAATTTATCCTAAAGAAAAGAGGCAGAAGAAAACACATTCCCATTTGGATTAGGTATTTTGTAATGATTTGACTCTATTTTAGGTTCTTAGTTGGTCTAGAAACTAAAAGTTGAAAAACATTATACTACCTGCAGATGATGTTTGGTTTGGTCTTTGCCTTCAAAGTTTCAGCAAGCTCAACCTCTAGTGCAATAACTCCTTCCAATGCCTTTCCACTAGTCGTAATTTCATTGAAAAGTGGAAACATGCTACCAAGATCTTCATTTGTCTTTAAAAAGGAGAAAAAAGGTCAGCCAGCATTATATAGTTGAGTAAATTAAAGTTCAAAAAGGGTTTAAATCAATTTCATAAGCTAGTAAAAAAGAAAGTATATATACCTTTTGTAGTTGTTCGAGTTCTCTCTGAGAAGCTTCGAAATCTGGGTTAAAAATGTGATCCTTTGGAACGAGAGAGTTTTCATGTTTCAATATTTCCAACTGCAAATAGAAGGCGAGGTTACTTTGATTTTTCTCAGATTTCAGTTACAAATAGATTGCATTGAAAAAAACTGGTCTACTTTGTCAATATATACATAAAGATAATTTCTTTTAATATCCCCAACTAAAGTGCACATAAGTAAAAATACCTCTTCAAGTAGGTGGTCCATACCAGCCCTCAAATTTTGGGTTTCAAAAAGATTGCTATTCAAATCAATATGTGGTGATGGAAGATCTTCGATTGATAGATGTTGGTAAATCAGTTTCTCCTCAAGATACATACCATCCTGACATATATTTGAAAAAGAAAAACTCCTCAAAACCTTGAGACTTTACATAACATGAAAGGGAAAGACATAAAGAATTATTAAAGAAACCAGCATCTATACAACTTTGCAAATTAGAAAGACTTATAGGTGTGTATGTCTATGTAAAAACAAAATGGTGGGGGTTCAATCTTATACAGTGAGAGGAATGTTCAAACTGTTGGGGAAACTTAAGGAGAAAATATGAGGTTATTGCATGACATTTTAAGCTATTAGCTTGACTAAGATACCTTAGGAACTGTGGACTAATTAAGAATCATATGTAAGAAATTAAGAATCAATACAAAAAATGTTTCTTTTTTAGCATTAGAAGTTGGCAAGCAGCTATATAAAGCATGATGTTGGCATACACTTCGGCTGTATCTGAGATTTTCTGAAATTGTTTTGTTTACTTATTTGACTCTTGGCTAAAACAATTCTATAGTTTTTTAGATAAATTAAACAAGTGTGAATACTTTTGATAAATTCTGCATAGCAACCTAAACCTAGTGTTATCTTCGTTGTGTATGCATGTTGCTAGGTAGAAGACCAATAACAGTGGCAATAACAGATACTTAGGAAGTGATTCTAGATCACACCTTGATGATACAATGCATTTTGTTTGTTTTGATCTTATACGATCATTGACCTGTTTATTTCAACAAACACTACACACAGCGGAAAAAGGATTTAGGTAAGAACCATTTTTCCTGCTGCTTCTATTATCTTTCCAGTGTCATGCATCTTTCAAGTATGCGGAGGTATTACAACCTCCATCCCAAAATTAAAGTCTCTGTTTGACTTTCATGGTCTTCAATTTACATGTTTGACTATTATTAACAAAATTCTCATTACGAATATTAATAAAAATTATAAAGATTTAATATTTTAAGGAAAAAACAGATTGATTCAAACTATTTCATACTACAATACTATTAATTTCTGGAAAATTAATGGTCAAACTCCATGAAGCTTGGCAAGAAAATTCAGACAGGTACTTTCACTTTGGTATGTATAGAGTATAAAAAGTTAAAATCTCACCCAAAATTTGAGATAAAATGACTACACACTCTAAAAGTACCTGATGTGACGAATTTGGTGATGAAGGTTTAATTGACTTGTCAGTTGCATGCTTGGCTTCTTTGCTATTACTTTGGCACTTAACATTCTCCACCAGCTGTTTTGCCGCAGACAGTTCTGATTGCAAAGAGGCTTCGACCTTTTCCTTTTCTTCCTTGGAACATTCTAAGCTTAAAACTGCACATTCCAGTTCTGCCTTTATCCGATCATGAGCTTTAGTAATTTCACGTTTTTCATAAAGGACAGACTGTAATTCAGATTCCAAAGCCAAGAGCTTGAGAACTAGTTCCTCATTTCTTTTAGCTTGTATGGCATCAGATTTCTTCATACCTTCATTTTCATCAATTGCATCTTGGAGCTTCAAAAGCATGTCTTCTCCATGCCTTTTGGCAATAGACAGTTGTTGTTTCAGTTCCTGCACCTTCGTCTCGTATTGTTCTTTGATAAAGGCTATCCGTAAGGATTCTTGTCTAGCAACTGGTTGTCCTCGAGATTCTTTTTGCTCTTCAGCCTTATCCCTTGACTCCTTTAATTGAACAGATAAATTCCTGAATTCTTCGGTCTCCAAACATTGCTGAGAGAGTTTATGTGAGAGCTCATTATACTGACATTGTAAATTCTGCAGCTCATCTTTATATTTCTCTAGCAAATTCATACAAGGAAGCAGTTCATCGAATTTGCTTCTGAGAAACGTCACCATTACCCCCCGTTCCTCTGTGGAGACTATCAAGTAACAAATTTCGTCTTCACTGTTTTTCAGTGCGTCTTTAAGATGTTCTACTTCGAGTGTGTGACAATGTTTAGCCTTTGAAAGACAAACTTCTAGATTTGTGATTTCATTCTCGTATTCCTCAACTCTCAACTGTATATTACTGTTATAATCTGAAAGAACCTTATTTCGAGCAAAAGACGCCTCCAGATCAAATCTAACAGTATCAATGGCTTCCAGCAACTTTAACTTTTCTTCATGATGATGAGCCTCACCTGCAAAACTATGACTCAGTTTACTCAGCAGATCATCACATTGTTCCCTACGATTTCCAAGACACTCATCAGATAATACAAGTTTTTGAGCAACACTTCCATATTGGTTTACAGCAAAAGTATATTTAACATCTGAAGCAATTAAAGACTCATGCATGTGTAATTCAAGCCTTCTCATACTCTCATCCTTTTGCAGTAAAAGACAGTGAAGTCGAGATTTCTCCGCATCTAACTCTGATGCCTGCTCTCGGAAATGAACAAGTTCAGTATTTAGCTTCTCCAAGTCAAGTAAGTTGAGATGCTTCATATTTAATTCTGAACTAAGATCGCTCAACCTGCCCTCTAACTCAACATTATAATCTTTTTGAGCGTTCAATTCATCATACAGAGTTTCCAAGTTTTCTTTCAGCTTAATCATATCAGATGACAGCTTGAGAGACTCCTCAGCCTTGCAATTTAAGGACTCAGTGAGATTGTGCTTCTCTTGTATTAGATTAATGTTTTGCTTCTCCATTTCATGTAAGCTCTCAAGCTTCTCATTTAACTGAAAAGCAAGATTTCGAGCAGTAGCCTCAATTTCAGCTTTAGAATCTCTCTCAGAATGCAATTCATCATGAAGTCCTCTCAAATTTTCTTTCAGAGAACTGATTTCAGTTGCAAGGTTGGCAGATTCGGCAGTTGCACACTGAAAGGAGACCACAAGATCCTGCTTCTCTTCTATTAGCTTAGAATTATTTTTCTCCAGATCACACAGGCAGTTATTCTTCTCATTCAGTTCAAAAGTAAGTTCTTGCACCCTGCCTTCATTAGAATCTCTATCAGAATGCATTTCATCACTTAGAATCTTGAAGTTTTCTTTCAGACTACTAATATCCTCAGTTTTACTCTGTAAAGACATCACTAGGTCTTGGTTATCTTGTAATAGCCGACGAATTGTTGAGCTGCTTCTCTCAATTTCATCAGCAATATAATCCAAGTCCAATTTCTCTTGAACGAAATAAGCAGTTCTTTGCAGTTCAATCTCGAGGAGGGAGAGATCTGTCAAGAGCTCTTCTTCCTGCAGTGCATGCTTTTCCTCTATTTCAGAGGTTAAGCGGAGTTTATTTTCTACGTATTCAAGTTCAAATTGAAGCTTCTCTACAAGGGCATTAGACGTGCTTAATTTAACTGACATGTCCTGTGTTTTATTTTTAAGCTTTTGCTTCAATGCAATAATTTCTGAACTTAGGGATAATTCAGAATCATGTTTTTCAATCTCTAGACGCTTCTTCTCTTCCACGAGTTGAATAATCTGAGCACATGATTTGTGTTGGATCTCATCAACTTGGACTAAGAGGCCTTTGAAGTTATTCAAGTCCAAGTCAAGATGAGGGGGGTTTACTAAAAGAGGAGCACTCAATTGCTGATCATAGGATGCCAACAAGTTAACCAACTTATGCTGCACAAAGCTGACATTTTTCTGAAGGGTTTCCTCTGAAGAAGCCAACTTGTCACGTTCCAACTCAACAATTTTCAAGTCCTCCTTCAGAACAGAAATTTCAGTATGAAGCCTATCAATTTCTAGGTCTCTATGTTCTAGTAAACTTGACAATTGTGCTTTCTGTTCCAAACAAGACTCATATTTACTCAGGAAATTTTGGAATTCCGTTGAAATTCTCTCTCCATCCATGAGCTTCTCTGTGAGAAGAGAGTTCTCCTTAGAAATCATTTCCAGTTGATCAGCTAAATTTTGGTTCTGGCGAACAAGTTCATTACATTTGTGCATGCACCTATCCTTATCCCCATTTACAATGACAATATCTTCTAGAAGAACTTGCAATTTTGTAGCTAACTGATCATTGCATTCATTTGAAAACTCCAACTGCCGTGCAAGCTCACCCACATATTTCTTCATTAATGCATAATTGTGATATGCTTCAAGCAGAGTTTCAACTAGAGCCTTGGAGTATACATCCAAGTAGAAATTAACAGAATGCATTTCGTTAAGGTCTTCTTCAACCTTCATATAAAGCTTTTCCTGTAAAAAGAGTGACTTCTTCAAGTCCTCCAAAAGGACATCTCGGCAGACTGCTTGTTTCCTTGACCTTATATTTTGATTGCAGAACTGCAATTGCTTGGTGGTATCATATCTTTCTGAATTTTGGAAGCCATTTACATACTCGAAGTTATCTGCCACTGAAGGTTCTAGAGATGCTTGTTTTATGAGGTTCTCATTAGTCTGAAACATAGAGACAACCTGTGATGAAAGGAGTTCAAGATCCTTTTGTAGCTTTTCCACAGCAATTGAATAGTTCATGCGGGCCCTCCTAAGAGCTGCTTCTGAAGAGGTGGCTCTTTCCTCAAGCTCTTTGTTAATGGCGTCTAAATTGCGATTCTTATCAACAAGTTGTGCAATCTGAAGGTTCATATCTTGGCGTAAGGACTCAATTTCAGCTTCATTGATAGAAATTGTATAAATGCAAGTTGAGTGCTCATTTCTAAGACTCTGCAGCTCAGTCAGCATTCGCTTCTGATTCTCCTCAAGTTCTTGAACTAGTGCTTCATAGTAGCATTCCATCTGATCCATTTTCTTGACAAGAGTTTCCCTTTCAAACTTCGCCTCGTCCAGTTCTCTTATAAGATCAAAATTAGGTCCTTGAGAAACAACAAGAGGAGGTATGCTAAAATGAAGTATATCTTCAGGTGGACATAAATCCAAATCCAACCCAAGTCCTGTCAAAGTGTGTTGAGTTTTCTGTAGACAAGTGTCTCTCATCTCTTTTGCATCCATAACTAATGGTGGTGCAATGTTAGGCAAGCATGTTTCATCCTTTGACCCTTGTTTCATGTTGTTCAAAATCTGAAGTACTACCTCAAATTCTGACTGAAGAAACCTGTGTTCTCCTTCATGGAGGCCATGAAAAGTCTTTTTCTTGAGGTCCCTTATCCTTTCTTCCAGGAGTGAAATTCCCATGGACCATTTAACTTGAATTTCTTGAACTAAGCGAAAATCCTGTTTTTCTGTACATTGAGGGCTTATCTTTAAATTATGTAGTCTTTCAATATCATCTTTGATCTTCAAACGTTCTAGTTTCAGGGAAGAGACCTCCTTTGCCAATTCTTCACCAGATGATATTTCAGCAGCAAGCACGCTAGAAAACTTATCGGTTTCCATTCCTAGTTCATCAACTTGACCTTGCAGAGAGCTTACTTCGAGTTTAAGCTCAAAAACTGATGTTTCTGCCAATTCTAAACTTGCTCTGGTTCGACTATTATCATCAGAGCAATCTAAAACCCATCCATGAATTGAATCACTACTCCCGTGGGCCGCAGCTTGATTTTCAAAAGGATTTGTTAGTCTTGGTTGTGGGCTTTGACAATGGGGAGTTTCATGTGAGTCGCCAAAAGCTGAAGTCTTCAGGCTATCGATTTCCTGTGTACTAGAGGAATCGTTCTTTTCGGCATAAAAACTTTCAGATGTGTTGGATGAGCCATCAAATCCAATAGTCAAATCTCCATGTTCTTCTACTTCTTCAACTGATAAGAGCTCTTTGGCATCCGGTCTAGATCTTGACCTTCTATTGGCCTGCAACACCGCAAAGGGAATCAAAAGGGCTTTTGTTAAGTCAGGTAAATGCATCATGAACTTGGAAAGGAAAAGAACAATTAAAGACAATAATTAAAACCTTTTCCATTTCGTCACGAGCAGCATCTCTAGCGACTGAAACTTTTCCAGTGCCCATATCATCAGGCTTATTATCGATTCCTGATTGCAATCCGCGCTCCCTTAGTTCCCTTTGCTGCTCAAATTCTCTGAAGTAAAACATACACTACTTTAAGTTGTTATGAAAGGTAATCATCTTCATTTACAATTAAGGATGCCACACCTGAATCCTGTTTTGGATGTTAGCAAATGTACAGTGACCTGAAAAAGAAACACTTGTTTAGTACAAATAACAAGCACAGACAATAAAATGCTGCAGCATCACAAACTATGAGTTTCCTAAAATTTAATGGTATTCAAATATTAAATTGAAAATGGTATTTTTAGCCTGTTAAGGCCATAACGTAGAAAAGCGAAGTGGTTCAAGCAGCACGTGGTATAAGCAAGTGAAATGGAAAAGACCAAAAACTTCAGTTAATAGAATAACATCTAGCTTTCTACAGTAACAGATTAATGCAATAGTCGTGATTATCCAGGTAAGGAAAAGATTAGTATCTAACTGAAACTTTAGATAGAAAAATGGAAGAATTTGTACATCATTATATGGTACATAGGACAAGAAATATTCTGGAAAATCACAATTACTTACATGTAAAATAGCTCCTGTATCACATCCATGAAGAGGTAATGCAACTGTGGAGGGCTTTGAAGCATCAACATGTTCAGCAAGGTTGAGTGAAGCCTCACCAAGAATGCTAGCTCGTGAAGAACCCTAAGATCAGTTAAATTAATTCAAAGACACAGCTAAACTCTGGAAGAAATAAAAATTCTTGCGATATTCAATGAAGACAATTACTACCTAATTTGTTCTATTGTCCAAAGAAACTGAAGCTTTTTCAAATTTTTAACAGTTTATAAGATTGATAACCGGACATAAATGGTTTGACTATAGATCATGTACGTCATCAAAATGAGCAACTACATATATACATAAATAGGTAGCACAAATTCAGAAGAAAATTTCACCATGGCAACAACTAGTTTGTACAGTTTCTCATCATATTCTTTGGTTTTAACGTCTTGGAGAAGCCTCGTAGTTTCATAAATAGGGTCTGCCCATTTGCATGTTCCATTTCTCACATTTGCTTTCGTTGTTTTTGCGGTTGTCTTGCCGGAATCTGCCGGGATAAATGATACAAATAACTTGTCCCATCCAGTTTGTGGAATCTGTACATTGAAAATATGACTTTGTTAACCCAATGCACCCCACCACAGAAAAGACCATCGTCTTCATAAATGATCTCTGTCACAGGGTTGGTGGTTTTACTGATAACTACATCAGACGAACTTGGACGCCACAAGATTAGTTAACTTAGACTGTTTAACTTGCACAAGGCAGCTACCCACCTCTAGCTTGAACCGAGTTAAAAACAGAGAGAACAGAAATGGGACATAAAAGTCGAAATGTGATATTAAAAGTGTCTTTATTAGAAACATGAGTCGAAGATTACAAGAAATTTCACATATTAAATAGCAAGCTTACATGTGTTGCATGAAACTGAAGCCGGAACACTACTTTAACTTTATTCTTCTCAAGCTTCCACTTGGTGTTCCTTGACATTATTGTGATTCTAGGCTTCCAGCAGGAAATAACAGTACTCCGGAGTTGGAGCGGAGCTTATTCAGGCCAGAGCGAGAATGCGAGAAGAACAGGACAGAGTAGTAGTGTGGAGGTAACTCGGCAGAGGTGAATCCAGTGATGATGGAGCTTGATACGGCGAGTTGGTGGGTTTTAGGGTGCCATTTTTCTGATTTCGGGAAGAAGGACAGACAGGAACCGACGGGAGCGGCGAGAGGGAAGCTCCACGGTCAACAACAGATGCTGTTGTCAGATGCTCAGATAGTCAGATCTAGGATGCGAGCGGGTCGGGTGCTGGTCGTTTACCAAAACCCGAAACCAAACCTATCTTTCACTACTTGGTTCAAGGCGGGCGCGGCAGGTGACCATGGTTTTCGATTAAAGGGTTTTTGGTTAATTGATGTTTCGATTAGAATTTCAATGTCTCAAATTGTACCATTACTTCAATTACTACCTAGTCACCTCTTAACCATCACCTATAACTTATAGAAATAATGGCATCAATATTACTCCCCAAGTTATCAATTCCAAAAATATGACCCCTTTTTGTTTTTCCCAAAAAGTGACTCACCTCCGCAAAAACATTTGACCTTCTGTTACCATTTCAAAATGAATGGACTAAATAACCCAATCTAATATCTCTGCTTTGGCCCATCTTTATCGCACGCTATGACCGATACTGCCGTCTCCTCAGCAGGCGAGGCCGGTGAGGGTGCCAGGACGGAGGAGGTCGAAGCGGAGCGGGTGGCCGATGAGACCATTCCCGAAAGTTGATCGGCTGCATAATCTTTTTGTAATTTAGTTAGGCTGTTGTAACGCCCCTTTTGTAATGGCCGTTGAGCCCTCCTCGTGTAACAACTTATTATTAATGAAGTATGTTTTTGCGGTCTTATCGTGTCTTTTCATCGTCTTGTTCTCCCTTTACTTTTGTTCTCGAGTTTTCAAAATTTGTCTGTGTTTGGGATTGGGACTTAGGAAATTTTCTAAGTACCAAGGCTTCAAATGAGTGGGTGTTGGCGTCGTCTTGGTATTACACCCCCTTTCACTCTTGACCGAAACTTTGGAAAATATCCTAAGTGTTGAGTCAATACCACACGTGGTGATCCCGTCGGCCCGGTGTCTTTTTCGTAGTCTGAACAGGGAGTCGTATCTGATTTCTGTAATCGTGGCCGATAAGGGTACCTGACCTTTGCCGTCTGAGTGTGATGGCCGAAATGCTCCCCCATGGGACCTGACCTTTGGATTGCATGGACTGCTTGTCCCCTTCGGCTTTAAATGTTTTTGTCTCTTGCCTTAGTTATTCCAACTTTGAAATTTGTCTAAGTGTCAAACCAAAACATAGATAACTACCGCCTTTTGTTGGGGCCGAGGCGGGCACCTGCAGGTATTCGAGTGCACGCTTCATCTCAAGATTGTCCCCTCGTTATTCAATACTTTGGAGATTTCTCTAAGTGTTGAGCCATGTAGTTTTCTTCTGCGTAGTACCGTTGTCGGCCAAGTTGGGTGATGTGGCCGATGAGGGTGCCCAGGTGTTTGCCTTTTCCTTCGCGTTTGCCTCCCTCAAAAAATTCTCTAAGTGTTTGAAGTTCACTAAGGCAACTTTCTTCAGAAATTTTCTAAGTGTTTGGAAATCACTTAGACAACTTTCTTCAAATATTTCCAGCTTAAGCAACCGCCTAGGTTTTGGCGCCTTTAACGGCCAGCAAGAATGTTGTGGCCGGTGGGGGTTGCCACCCGTGTGTTTAACTTTCCCGCGGGTGTTTTAGTGCCCGCTTTGTCCCGTTGGTCCTGCGGGAGGTGCTTCCCGATTTTGAGGACCCGCTCCGGCCGGGAGATATCCAGGGGGACCTCCTCGACCTCCTCGGCCGACTCGACATGCGGTCTTTCCTCGTCCTTGGCAATGGCTGCCGTGATGGTGTCTATTCTCTGTCCTTCCCACTCGGCCGGCCTTGTTAGCTTGAGGTAGCATGCTCTGGCTATCCTCTGGTTTCCTCTGGCGTAGCCGATGCCGCCGTTGGTGGGGAACTTCAGGCACAAGTGTTTCATGGAGATAAAGGCCTCCAAGTCTTCCAGTGCTGGCCGCCCCAAGATCAGGTTATGGGCGCACTGAAGGTTGACCACCATGAACTCCATATCAATTTTGGAACGGTGGGAGCCGTCGCCGACTTCCACGGGGAGGACTATCGTGCCATCGGCGTTGATAGAGTCCCCGGTGAAGCCGGACAACGGTGTCCTGATCGGCTTCAGCAGAGCTTTATCCAGCTTCAGCTGCTTGAAGGTGTCCAGGTACATCACGTTGACGGAGCTCCCTGTATCGATGTAAGTGCGGTGGATGATGGAGTCACCGATCTCACACCGGATGACGAGGGCGTCCCTGTGTGATTCCGTACCCGGAGGCAGATCCTTGTCGTTGAAGGTGATCGCCTCCGTTCGCTGCTTCTTTGGCTGGGGGGAACATGGGACACCTCCCCAATGTAAAGGGATTGGGCCCATTTCTTCCTCTGGGTGACGGAGTCCCCCCCGGTATTCCCACCTACGATGAGGTGAATATGGTTCTTCTTTGGCAGAGGCTCTTCAAAGTCCTCGTCGTCGCTGAGTCTACCGATCTCCCGCTTCTTCGCAGAGGGTTCGCCCCCAGGTTTGCCGGTGTTTACCCACGTATTTTTGCGCGGGCCACCTTTAACAAATTGGGAGAGTTCCCCCTAACGAATAAGGCGCTCGATGGCTTTCTTCAGCGTGATGCAGTCGTCGGTGTTGTGTGAGGAGTTCTTGTGAAACCGGCAGTATGTGTCGCCTTGCTGGATGGCAAGGACCTCCTCGGCCGGCCGAGGAGCTTGTTCAATGAGGCCATGCTTCTCGGCATAGTCGAGGATGGTGCTGATCGGGTGGGTGAGTGGGACCCCCGGCCGTTCCAACCTCGGCCGCCAGTGGCGGTCTTTCTTGCTTTGTCCACCAGAGCCGTGACGGCCCTAGGCACCCTAGCCGACCGGGGATGCCCCCGAGGCCGGCGAAGGATTTGTCTTCTTGGAGGGATGACCTCCGTCTTTTTTTGTGGTTGTGGAGCTCGTCGGTGTCGGCGTACAAGCTCCCACGCTGAAGCGCCTTTGCATACGACCTCGGGGGGTCGGTGATGAGGCTCCTGGCACACGGGGAGCTGCGGAGGGCTCACTGGTATAGGACGAGGAGGGTTCGCTCATCGGCCCCCTCGACCTTTTCGGTCTCCCTCGCCCACCGATCAATGAATGACCGGAGGGGTTCGTCATGTTGCTTCTTGACGGAGAGGAGATGGGTGAAATACTTCTTCGCACGCTTCCTCCCGGCAAAGTGGGTGAGGAAGCGTTGGGCAAGGTCCTGCCATGAGTCAATACTTCCTTCGGGAAGTGCGTTGAACCACTCGTACGCCGGCCCCTCAAGAGTGGAGAGGAACCAGTGGCAGAGATATTCATCCGACGCGTTCACCATCAGCATGTTATTCTGATAGCGGCTGAAATGCTCCTGAGGGTCTGATCGGCCATCGTAGGACTTGATGGCGTTTCCCCTGTACTTCTCCGGGATGGGGGGCGAGAGCACCCTGTTAGTGAAAGGGGTCCTGGTTCTGACCTGGATGACGGGGTCACCTCGCCCTTCAGCCAACTCCCTCTCAAGGGCGTTGACCTTGTTCATGAGAGCGTTGAGGCCAGGATCGTTGGAGGCGCCGACCGTGGGGATGTTTGCCGATTGCCTGGCCTCCATCTGGGCCAGCCTCCTTTCCAGCTGGGCGATGACCTCGTCCCGGGGATCCCTAGCGGATGCAGCGGCGCCCTGCTGGTTCTTCATGCGCTCGTCGTGGGCCGCATTGATCCGGTGGCGCACATCGTCCTCGTGCAATTTTCCCTTGCCCTTGTCCAGGCGGGGCTGGTCCACTGTCTGGGACACAGACCCCAAGCTTTCTCTTGGCGAGCCAGGCCGACGCTCACCAATCCGCCCTGCCATCCTCTCTGAAACCGGACGACGGCGCGTGTCACCTAGCCTATTGAAGGCAGAGGCTTTTCCACGCGCTGGGGTCTGCCCAGGCCGAAGAGGGGAAGCGGGGTGGGAGTGGGGCGACGCCGTGTCCTGGGCTATCACCCCCTCATCGTTGCCTATCCTGACGGCCAACGGTTGGGGCTGAGGAGGTGGAGTGACGTTCCCCCCAGTCCTTGGCAAGAGTGCGCTGAGGACGGTGGGGTTCTGAGCCAAGCTGGCGATGATGACCGACAATGCGTCCTGGACCTGTGGATCCACAGACGGAGAAGTCGTGGCCATAGGCTGGGACGGGGCGTGGTCTGTCTTCTCTGCGCGCTTCTTGTCCAGGCCGATGCGGGCATCAGGGGCGCCGCCGTTGAGCTGGTTGCGTAGGTCCGTCGTGAGGTTGATGGCCTCCTGGAAGACGCCCCCTCCGCCGACCTGGTCGGCAGTGGCGTCCTCCTCATGCTCCCTGGTCTCCTGATCCTCAGGGATGGCCTTGCTGACGAGGTTGCGGCTTGACTTAGTTCTTCCCATGATCAGTGGTTAGTTGTGCTTGGTAGCGACGAAGGGTGCTAACTTGATTGTTCCCGCTCTCAACGAGAGCACCAAATGATAGAGTATATATCTAGAGAGAAGTGAGAGCTAGAGAGAGAATTGCAAGTAAATGCTTCAATAGACTGATTTGTAACCCCTATAACTACCTCCAGAGGAAGTATTTATAGGAAAAATACGGGCTGGGCTCCCAAAGCCTTGGGCTTGGGAGGCCCATTTACAACTGGACCGCTATTGGGCCGAATACAAAGTAAATGATGGGATATATAAATGAATAAGTGTAAAATCTAGTTCTGTGAGACTTCCGCGGCCGACGAGGGTCTGGCCGACGAGGGCACGGCCGATGAGGGCACGGCCGACGAGGGCACCCTGGTTCCTTGGCTTCGGGATCATATTCTGAGTTGGTCCCTCTTCGGCCGACGAGGGTCCTTTGGCCGACGAGGGCACTATGCAGTGGCTTGTACTTTCTGTTCTTATGAGTATGTGGGTCCTGGGGCCTAGACTCATATACTCCATCAAGTTTAGTTCATTTTATTTCGCTCAACTTATTTTTTGTATATTGAAGTACCTATGCAATGTTTGGTAGGCATAAGCTCGTGTCTTATAGCTTTTGTATTATTTAAAAAGTTTCCAAAAGCTTCTAGTTTAATGTTTAGTAGCACAATTTTTAAGAGGTTTTTACAAAATAAAATATCTTTACGGTAGGGAGAAACTCAGTTGCTTTTAGCATTAATTAGTCACAATATCTTGTTATACCAAACAAAACTAAATCAAACAGTTACAAC